CATAACAAGACGTGTCTGAATCTAGTAATACTATAAAAACCTTACACCACGTGTCTGAATCCAGAGACACTATAAGTGTCTGAATCCAGTAAACTATGAACACCTAACACCGGGTGTCTGAATCCAGTGATACTATGAATACCTTACACCGGGTGTCTGAATCCAGTGATACTATGAATACCTTCCACCGGGTGTCTGAATCCAGTGATACTATAAATACCTAACACCACGCGTCTGTATCCAGTGATTTTATGAATACCTAACACCACGTGTCTGAATCCAGTGATACTATAAATAACTAACACCGGATGACTGAAACCAGTGACATTATTAATACCTAACACCACGTGTCTGTATCCAGTGATACGATAAATACCTAACACCACGTTTCTGAATCCATTGATACTATAAATACGTTACACCGGGTGTCTGAATCCAGTGATACTATGAATACCAAACATCAGGTGTCTGAATCTAGTGACACTAGTAATACCTAACACCGGGTGTCTGAATCCAGTGATACTATAAATACCTAACACCACGTGTCTATATCCAGTGTTAGTATATATTTCACTAGCACCACGTGTCTGAATCCAGTGATACTATAAATACCTAACATCACGTGTCTGAATCCAGTGATACTATGAATACCTTACATCGGGTGTCTGAATCCAGTGATACTATGAACACCTAATGCCGGGTGTCTGAATCCAGTGATACTATAAATACCTAACACCACGTGTCTGAATCCAATGATACTGTTAATACCTAACACTTCGTGTCTATATCCAGTGATACTATAAATATATAGCACCACGTGTCTGAATCCAGTAATACTATAAATACATAACACCACGTGTCTGAATCAAGTAATACTATAAACATTTAAACAGGCGTCTGAATCCAGTGGTACGTAAATGTATCCATGCTGGTGGCTGATGCTGCATTTGTGATATAATTGTTAACACAAATGCAAGGAATATGAAATAGATATAGGTTAGTTGAAATTAAGCTTGCTTAAGCTTATATTCTGTTTTGATTATTTATGAGGAGAAATGACCTCGCATAAATTGAAACCAATGTTTTAGATCAAAAGTAAATAATAGCGCTTTGAATGATAGCTGTAACAGCTTGGACACTTCGATATTGATTATCCACCAATTACAAATTGGAATATTTTCATCTCTCATACATATATTTCACAGAAAATTAAACGCTATGGCTAATTGGAACTCGTTGATCTTGGGAATATCGTTCAGAGAAAATAATTCTTCCGAACAAACTCAACAGTCTTTTACACCCAGATGTTCCGTGATATCGGGATTTTCTGATAAATACAAACAAAAACAAAATTATACACTTTTTATAGTTGTATTACATATTATGTCGTCATCCGGTGCTCAAAGTGGAGAGAATAATTCTTCCGTTTTGTTTCTTCCTCTGTTGGTGAACCGATTAGCATAGACATATTGGATAATAAAAAAATCTTCTCTTGGCCTTTCCATGTTATTATGATAGAGTGGGAATACTTGGATACAAAAAAATACCGAAATTATACAAGACAATTAATATTATGATAAGGTGATATCAGTAAAACACACGTGCGATAAAGTTAATAACGAACTGAAGGTACTACATACCGCCTAGTCACCTTGTTATGGTTGTCGGAGTTAATACAACTTAACACTGTTAATTAGATCAGAAGTTCCTTCCTCCTCGACAATCTACAGCTTAGTTACTCACTGTAAACTCTACACCAGTATCGTGCTTGTCTGTGATGGAGGAGAGTTGTCGGCCTTGAACCAATAAGAGCGCAGCGACTCCAACATTGGCCGACAAAAATAAAAAGTTAAAATTGTGTTCCTATCTATTAATTTGTATTAATTTGATAGTGTGCATCATTATGTTACTCATGAAAAATTAAGATTGATCACAAATATACGCATAATTAAAAAGAAATATCTAATATTTCATACAAATTCAATAGTGCATAGTTTCTGATCGTATTGCATGCGTTGTAGAGTCAAGTGTAAACAATAAAAGGACTAAAATGCTGATGACATGCCATTTTCAAACATTATTTAAATACGACGTATTAAAACCCCACATAAACCGTTCGATTGTTTGCAGGGCAGTGGCACATAGATTTGTATATATTGCTGTTCTGTTTTATTTGTCAGTTACTAAGCTATGTCATCTCGTGTGGACGCGTGTCTACACATCGTTTCATTTAACGAATATCATTATATAGTTTAAAGGTAAAGAGTAACATCAAGATGAAGCATTCAATTAACATTGTGACTAGCATGAAATTTTCTTTGAAGTTATTTTCTGAAAATGTATTTCATATATATTATAGTGCATCTTACAGAATAACAGTTGTTCGCAATTTGATTATTTGAAAACAAAACAAAAACATAAACTATAAGGGTCTAGTTCATGACCTACGTCAATCAACTACACTTTATTTAGGTAGCTTTGCATGAATTATAACTGCACCGAATTAAAATATAGATTTATACTTTGATAAGAAAGTTAACTTATGTCAAAAACTCCGTTTCATAGATTTATCATCTACATAGAAGGGATAATATTCAAAGCCGAAAAAAACTGAAGTGGACCACTTTTTCGCGATTTTAACTTTTTCAATAGCAGCCTTTACCTTGAGAAATTTAAAATGAAATAATGAAGCGCTCGAAAGTGTCTGCACACTAATAACACTACAGCTACGCACCTGCATGTTGTGTTAGGGCTTGGCATACACCTGCGCAGTACGGCACCCACAGTACCACATGTAAATGTGTGTACTGTCACACAGTCGATCTCCGCAGCATGACTGGCAGAACCGCACGTGTACACACTTGTACGGTTACACGTGCTAGACAGCATTTGATTTTTAATATTACTCGTATAATAAACAATTGATAAAAAAAAACCTTGTCAGCTTGATGATTTGTAGAATATTGAACATCAATCAAAACCATTTACACGCATGTCGTGGGACACAATGAACGTGTCTGGGACACAGTTCATACCGGGGACATGGTGTGCATGCCTGTGACACAAGGCACTGCCAGGGTACATACCGGGGACATGGTGTGCATTCCTGGTAAAACAAGGCGCTGCCAGGGTACGCACCGGGGTCATGGTGTGCATGCCTGTGACACAAGGCACGGCCAGGGTACATACCGGGGACATGGTGTGCATTCCTGGTAAAACAAGGCGCTGCCAGGGTACGGACCGGGGACATGGTGTGCATGCCTGTGACCCAAGGCACTGCCAGGGTACATACCGGGGACATGGTGTTCATGCCTGGTAAAACAAGGCGCTGCCAGGGTACGTTCCGGGGACATGGTGTGCATGCCTGTGACACAAGGCGCTGCCAGGGAACGCACCGGGGACATGGTGTGCATTCCTGGGAATCAAGGCACTGCCAGGGTACATACCGGGGACATGGTGTGCATGCCTGGGAAACAAGGCGCTGCCAGGGTACGCACCGGGGACATGGTGTGCATGCCTGGGAAACAAGGTACTCTTAAACTTGAAACTTGTCAGAGACTTGAGCCTGGGACACAGTGCACTGCCAGGGACTTGATACGTACATACTGGGGACATAGTATGCATGCCTGGGACATAATGTACTGCCAGGGATTTGATACGTACATACCTGGGACATAGTGTGCATGCCTGGGACATAATGTACTGCCAGGGATTTGATACGTACATACCGGGGACATAGTGTGCATGCCTGGTACATGATGCACTGCCAGAGTAATGCATCATTCTGATCATTTCAATTTTGAAGTTTACGCTAGCCTTGTCACATTTTATAAATTGATGACATGTTTAATAAACGATTGGTTGTAAGATTCCAAATATGAATAATTGATCAAATATTGAAAATAGATCAGCATCCAACTGCATTTCATGTGTATAGTAAACATTTAATCATCTCAATATAATCAAGCTTGTGTTTCCCCCCATCAAAACATAACGATTGACTGCAAAATAAACATGTAAGAATAACTAGATAAAACAAGAAGAGACTCGTTAAAATAAATACACACTTGGTTCGACTTTTTAAAATATACATATTGTACTTTAATTACGTTTTGAAAGTGTTTTTTTTTCTTAAACTGGAAAAATAACCAAAAGGATCTAAATATATTTCCGGTAATGAAATACTTCCGGAAATCAACTGAACCCTGTTGAAAAGATACATGCATATTGTTTACATGATATATACTATATATCGTTCAGTATCATAGTGTACATGAAGTTTGACAATATACTAAAAATAACAATGTTTGACAACGTCGAAATGCGTACGCTACTATAAACGGGCACCTGCCAAAATCAATTATGTCTCCGCCGGATTTTATTGTAAACAAAGTACAATTATATGTACTTCCGTAGTGCAATCATTGAGATTTAAACCCCACCTACACTACGCGTATGTGTACTACATTTAAAAGCTATAAAAATTCCTCTTCATTATCTATCTTTTTTTTTACGTCAGATCTTTAAACCTCATCGTCTCACCCAACCCTAGCAGTTCACGACATCTTACTACTCTCACGATGTGAAATTCTTTTTTAACCTACTAGATTAATGATATGAGTGCAGAAGATGCTATCTACCTTCCCGTTGCAAACAGCCATTGGGCTGTAGTCAGCTACAAGTCGATACTCTGGTCATCCTACAGGCGCGCGTCACGGATCATTGCGGACGCAAAGTTCATTCATAAGTAGACCTTTTTAGTGTAAACAAAAGATTGTGAGCTGTACTGTAATAAAACCACTCCAAAGTGGGCGTGACTAACGGGAGATGACTCAAATGACGTCACGTCGGTACAACTATACTTCCTACTGGAGGGTAAAATGACATTTTGATTCAGAACATGATGATTGACAGTCATGCGGGCAGCTTAGTACTCAACCGTACATCCCATTGGCTAGTTTTTGGTCGGGATAATTTACATGGGAAATATCAATGTACCTTGGTTCATCCCGCATGTTAAGAGACAATGAAACTATAATGACATTTTATAATAACATATTACATGTATAGGCACTGAAACAATTTTTCTTCGTACTTAGAAATCACTTGTAATATGACATATGTCCTGTGGTATATTTCAGCGCACTTGCAAAGGAATTATTCGATACGAAGTAGTTCGTGCTATAGGTGAAATAGCGTCGCCATATTGGTCAAAATATTACTACGCCATCTGATAATAATTCGTTATTTTGGAGTTTATGGACAACATGGACATTGAAATCAATTTTGTGTCTATCGGAAAGTATTTGGAATTAGTGTCTGACCTAAATTTGGATTAACATCGAAAATAAATCAAGTTTCTGGACTATTTTCAAACGCGTAGTACATTGCTCAAAAATGACTCTGTCGATATCGTTTCCTGTCTGGAATTGCAGGATGATTTTTAAGATTAAGAATTCCCAATTTATGATGTAGGGATGAAAAATGTCAGAAACGCCAGCGAAGGAGTAAGTATTCTCAATTCCAAATTATCTGTCCGGATTATATTCCAGGAATGTGAAATTTGGACATATCGTCTGCCGTGTATCGGGCTGGATACAGCGAACACGCAACATGGAGGCTTGCTTCGTTCATCATCTAAACATCTATTCATTTCAAATTGAGTGATAGTTTTAGACGATGGTAGTGGTCCTACCAATCATGGGGTATTTTAATGCGTATTTAATATGTTGTGTATGAAGCATAATATTGCTTGGAACATGTGTATTCATATGATGTGTATTGCAAGTTCCTGACAGCTTGCATTGATGTGAAAATGTTCATTCATAAATAGCCATGAATGGCTCGTACAGTGTTGAAGTAGGCCTGTCCGGTTTCATGCTCAAATCGTAAGGTTGACTGTTTTTCTCTGTAAATCTATTTCATTTTATAAGAATAATGTTTGAAGTTGGTGTTTATTTGGTTGTTTCTGTATTATGTACACATTTATTGACGAATGTGTTGAATATAGTGATGACCTAATTCTGTAATTCTGGCACAGAAAGTCAAAGCCCTGCCTTTATTGTAGTGACCTGCTCATTTGACCAAGAGTTGGGGGTATGTAAATATGTATTTCAACATGGACATTGTTAATATTATATTGACTACTTAAAATCATTTGTAGATTAAGCTCAATTATGATTTACTAGTAAAGATCTACCTGCAAAGTATATATAATACTTTCAATGTATTAGCTTAGTTTGATAATGAATTAATTAAAGCAAAATATACTATTTAAATTTGGCTTCTAGACCATGCAGCATTAACAGCGGTGACACAAAAATGTATGATGCATAAACACTGATACATATGTAAGGCTAGTAAAACTAGGTATGACTAGTACATCCAAGCTGATTTAAAATGTTAAGATTGGCTACAGGTTTTTTAAAACAAATAAAGGAAATAAAAGCAGCGTTGTATATATAAATATGAGCAATCAACATGATGTCATAAGGATGGGGCTTACAAGATTTCTCCCTTATTCTAGTGTGCAGTATATATATATGCATCTAGTATATGAATTAACACCCAAAAACTATCTAAGCATATGTTTTTCTGTGTAAACAAGATAAATTGAGAGTTACGAAGAAGGAGAGTAAATTAATATTCATTTTTTATGGTATAATATAGTCATTTGATTTGTTGCTGAAGAAATAGAAATTTCAGCAGTAAAATACTTATGGTCTTTTCATTGATAAGGGGACTGGAGTCTTTATTGTCGACATCGAGTACACTCAAACTGACCGTATCTGGACAATTGGTTTGTGAACAGAACACAAATCCCCTTTTTGACTATTAATTAACAATAGTCTGTTGGTTTAAGAATTGAATCTTTATTTTGATTGATATAAATAAATTAGAAGAAAGCTGTAAAAACTGATCGACTTTAGCTTGTTCAAACCAAAATTGTGTTCCCTCTAAATGGTTGTTGATTCCAAAAGTAGACTTTCAACAGATTTATATAAAATTTCTAGTCATAATTAAAATGAAATTTTGCTGTAGGTTGATGTATTTTGATGAATTTTGAACCAGCAGAATTATATTTGTCTACTTTCCACACTGTAGTGTTTCTTTATAATTTAGAGTCTTCGATCTAGGTGATCCTGCTATAAATATGAGATCAAATACCTAAGTATTATATGGAGCGTAGTCCGGTGTCCTCAAATGTCATTAGCAGAGGTTAAAAACTTGTTTGTCCTTCCTTGGTCCAAAACTTTTCCAGTCCAGAAAGCGTCAGTCCTCTCAAGTTAACTAATAGTATTAGTCAAAAGTGAACACTATGTGCTAAATTAGAATAATCATTTTTATCAAAATAAGCACTAATAATAGTGTGCTTCAGTGAAAGTGGGTCTCGCTCCTTGGACTTGGAATGTTTAGCCCTTGCATTACTAGTATGACCAAACATTTCAAATCAATTATTGGTTGCTGGACTAGATCAAGTTGAAAACACTATTGCCCCCAAAAGTTGATTCACATTTATCTTTTTCTTTTCGCACTGAAAAATTGTTTCCGTTGATGATCATTGTGTGTATCTGATCTCCGATACTGCATGGGACCTACAGAATAAGACCAAATTTTAATATTATTTTACGGTTAGCAAAACAAAACTGCAGAAAATGATCTAGACATAAAAATTTCACAACTTTAACTGTTCTTTCTTACCTTAAAATCACATGTCGGCTCACCACATATACACGACAATAAAATCATTGTGAATGATGTCCATCAAACTTTTGGTTTAGGATGATTTTTACATGCATTTAAAATGTAAACATTGCATAACAAACAAACATGTTGTGGTACAAAGTTTTACTGTAGCACAGCATTTGAAATTTTTGTAGATTTCAGCTTTAATTTTGTACAATAATAAGACCACGTATGACATATTCTTAATGAAAATTTGAGCACACACTAACACATTATATAACTAAATTAACACTTTCTTCATTTTCAATGTGTTCCCTACTGAACAACTAAGCAAATACCATTTCCATGATCGAGTTTGACCACTTTGAACTTTGGGAAATTCCCTGTCAAATGTATGTATAATAAAGATACATATTTGTACCTGATAGTGCTATGTGATGATTTTGAAAACAAGATGTTATTGTCCGACACCTTACCACAACATTACATCCACAAATCTTCTGTGGTATTAAAATGATTAGGATTTGCATTATATAGATGAAACATAATGTTACTGCATCCTCTCTAGTTGGATTATATTAAACGTACTGACAACATAATCAGTGTAAAGTGCAGGATTTGTTGCATAAAAGAATACCCACTCATAGAAAAATGTTCATTACTGCATCAGATTGCAGTCCATGCATACATGAAGAATTGGTCATGGAGTGATTGTACTAGAATGAAATGTGAAACAAATTAGAACAGTTTAACTGTTAGGTTTTAAAAATTGGCTGTTGACAACACTCAAGTTAAGCATTAGAAAATTGATACATTCCAAATCACATGACATGATTTTCTTAAAAGAGTGATCAGCAGAATATGTTGGCTTTCCAAAAATATCTTGCAAAGGCGAACATTTTAAATACATACATGTATGCATGTTTAAATAAATAAGGTAAATACATGGGAGGTATTATACGGATGAAAATTTAGAAGCATTACAAATTAAGAACAAGAGCATTGTAGACAACACAGGGGCAGATCCGGGAATTTTGAAAGGAGGGGTCTGTGTATATTCCCTGAGACTGAGGGACCAAAGACTCGTGTACAAGCGCTGTAGATGATAAATCATGGTAAAAGCAGGGAGGACCTCTGATCATCATAGAGAAGTGCATAGAGAAAAAAAAAATGTATAATGTTGGAGTAGTAAAAAAAAATTGGATCATGCTTACAGAGTAAGACAAAAAAAAATCTGAAGTGATAAGAAAAGTAGATTTTTAAGTGAAATTTTGTTTCTGACTCATAAATAAATTTGTGTCTAAACTAAGAAGGGGTCCAGACCCCCTTGATCCACCTGTGTAACATAGGTATACGGAAATATAAAAGCACATTTCTGACCATCTCATTCTGTATATCAGAACTTTTGTAGTTCATGCATCCTGCTATGAAACACTTTCAATATACATATGTATGAAATCTCATGTGATAAGTAATGCATTTGTAATATGTACTGTAAAATCATGTTTGGAAACAAAAGTAACACTTAGAAATATCTTAATACAAAAGAATGAATCTTGTAGAAGAGCTTGAGGAATCATTTGTTTGAAAAATCAAATCACTAATAATATAATTCTGTTTACTGACTCTGCTCAATGTCTAAAGTAGGCATTACTACAGTTATTGGAATACTGGTCGTACACAAACTAAGATATATGTTGTTTGCATGGACTTGTGGAAATGTAAGTGAAAGTTTATGAGAATAAAGATAATAGAAACGAAATTACTATTTGAAATTAAATACAGTTCATAATCATAAATCTGGATGTAAAAATTACCCAATTCAAACTGAGGATTTCAATGATAAAAAAGTCTACTGGTAGTGGTATATTAATTGGGCATTGTGGTTACCATGAAGACAAAATGTTAATCATCTTAAAACTTTTTTCAAACTGGGAAAAAAATAAAGATGAATAAAAGTAGCCGAAACCCAGGACACCTCCATTGCCAATTCTATTCTTCACCAATTTTGCTTTCCATGAATTGTAATTAAGAGCTGGTATTGAAATGAAGCATGACTGCCTTGTCAATTCTTTAGGGTGCCTTATCTTCTATAAACAAGGGAGAATACCCTAAGTCCTATAAACCAGTTCTGAAGTGGAATTACAACTTGTACAGTGGTACCTTTTATCTCAAATCATCTTTTGTCTTAAAGCTTGGTGACACAGGCTGTAAAAAGAAATCCCTAATTTCAACAAGAACCCTATTAAGTTGGTTGCTGTTAAGGGTGAACTTTTTTAGGGAGATAAGCTTGTACCAACTTTCCAATAGATTTATGATGGCTATAAACAAAGCTACCATGTGGCCTTTTATGAACTTACTGCATTGGTTGGCCTCAAACATTTAATGAAAACTAAAAGTACAAAAAGTAGACTGAATGAAAAGCAATCTTTTGAGAGATATTGGGAACATGGACGAAATCAAGATGACACTGAAAGATTGTTGTACATTAAGGTGCCATTTCACTTATATTAGGATCTATGTTTGATTGCATTTGAGGGGTGAAATAAACTTTGAAATAACAATTTTTATAAGCAATTCTTCATATGTACTGGGCAGGACTACACAAAATTGAAGTAATATGAAGTTATAAAATTGTCTACAAAAATAATGTATAATACAGGGAGTCTTTCTGATATGTATATATACAGGGAGTTAATATGATGAATGGAGCTGATATATATGAGGGACTAATGCCATATACCAACCAGTATACAGGAAGTAAAACAATGCAAGGAACCGATGCATTACATTGAGCCGATGTAACACAATGAGGCAATGT